AGTTTACCTCAATATCACTTTTGGTAGTGATGGAACAAATGAAGTGAAAATTAAACACAGGCTATTGAATTTTTAAACTCCAGCCTGGAAAAAGCAAAACCAAAAAAACCTTTCAATATTTCCTAGAACAGTGTCTGCATTATTTATGACTGTGATGGTGAAGTACTCTGATCTGGCTATAGGTTTTTAATGAAAGGCCATATGGGTTACAGCAATCAGAAGAACTCACTAAATGGCCAGCTGTGTTCTTTTTAGCACTAGGAAATACGATGTAAGCAATATGTACCACTATCACAGCAAGTTTAATTAAAATAACTCATAATTTATTCAAATGTGTTAACTTGCGTTAACTTGCGTTAACCTTTCAGGGGTGCTTACAGTAAGGATATTAAAGTTCTAAATGAAGACAAAGTAATTTTTTTCTAAATTCAGATGGTTATGACATCATAATAGATTTGTTTATATCCTACAAATCCTGCTACACAACAGTTGTCATTAAATTTTATTTTTAGGTCCATGTTACCATGCTACACATCATTTTATATGGAAGTCCATTTAATTTGCGTAATACTATCTAACGAACATAATGTTTTGCTCATAAAGAGGTGTCTCAAATTAAGCAAGTAAAAACACTAAGCTGTCTGCGTTCACTCACTTTAATGTGACAGGACAGGTTTCAGAAGAATACACTTTTTTAAAGCTAGTCATAAACAATAACTGCTAACGGGGTAATGAAGTTAAAAAATGATTCATTTTTCATTTGATTTATGACTTTTAAATACATTTCTGATTTCTGTTTGGAAAGATGGCACATTATATGCCAGTTGTCAATGGGTAAATGGCTGTTAACTTTTTATTAGGTTAAATGTCATCCTGAAAGCATTTGCTATACATAATGGAAGAGGATATATGCAATCCTTCCAAACCATTCAAGTACGAAGACAGGTATAGAGCATAACAGACGTTATTCAATACATACATACTGGATAAAAACAATCGAATTAAGTACAGAGTTTGTCATAAAATATATATATATATTCTTATTTGACAAACACCAATATACCGCATCACAAAGAAGCACATGAACAGACACTGCGCGCTGACCACAGCCTTTTGTACATCTACAGTATGTTGAGAAAGTGACTGCCCTATTTAGCTATGTTCTGTTTGCCCTCTTTCCCAATGAAAATGTATTCAACAGCTGTGTCTTCCCAGTGAAAATACTGCACATAAAATACAAGTATATGAGGACCTAGACAAAGGTAATGGGATATCAACTCCAATACAAATGTATATGAACAGTTATCTATACAATGATGACTGACGCCTCTCAATATAAACATACAGCCACAATCCATAGCTGGAATGGAAATCCCCAGAAACCTTGATCATTGTATAACAGTCAACTAGTCTTCTCTGTGTTCATAAATTGCATTACCAACTTGAGTTAATGTACAGTATGTCACAGATGATCTTCAGAGTGTACTTGCCACTGTGACATCCAGAATTCCAGAATCCAGTAGAGTCTTTTGGGGGGAACGTAAAAATAAATTAGGGAAGGCAGTCAAATCAGTCCCCTACAAATGCAATGTTAATCACAGTTTCCTGTATTACAAGATTGAGCTGACGGACACAATGCCTATCCTGGATCTAACCTGCTGAGCCCTTCAATCATAGCTTTGAGGAATTACTTTTGGAATATTATGTAAGATCACATCCAATTGTTCAAGCAATATATTGGTAAAGAATTCAAGCAGGAATTTTATACCTATATCCCGGTACTGTACACTCGTATATTGATATTATTAAATCATCATCTTGTATAGCCACTAACTCAGTGCTTCTCAATTTGTTGGACAGTTAAGTATATTTAGGAAGTATACCACACTTTTATACAGGCTACCTCAAGCTTGCAGCCCAATAGTTTGTTTAACATGGTTTATCAAGTCCTTTTAAACACAGGTGCCATTTTCGAATGTGTTTTGAACCGGTCTTTGCAAACTTTTACAGACATACTCTTTTCTCTTGCCTTTTGTTGAGCCCTTGCAACAGGCTAATTAGGTACTTACCTTTACAGCCTCATTTTTTCCTCAAAACTCATTGCCAGCAACTTACCTATACTATTTACTAGTTCTAATTGTACCATAATCTCTTTCAGACTTGAATCAACACTATTTCAGTTTTCTATTTAACAGCTCTTTTACCAACAAAACTATGCAGTGAGACATCAGACAAAACAGCGGACTCAGTAATGAAACAATGGGGGTATTACCTTCCATCAACATCCCTGCAGTGCTCCAGGGCTGCTACCACACATGTGTTACTTGGTGCAGTAAGGAGAATGCTCCAGAGTAATTACTGCACATACACACTTATTTGCTATAATAGCTGCAATAGCTGGAAGTGAAATAATTATTACCATAATGATGTTACAATTGGCCATAGGCCGGAGAGCAAATTCATTTAACTTTCATTAAACTACAACTGATGTTTTATTGTCCTTTGACACATTTTAATTTCACATTTTATCCACAATTCTATTTAATATTGCTATTATTTTTTATTATTAAATCTTTTACTTGACAGTGCTTTTCTGTCTGAATTGAAACTGGTGTGGAAAGGGTAACCTGTTCTGTCCTCTCCAGATGTCAAGACCTTTTTATGGCTTTAGATCATTACCAGTTGTGTTCCAAAATGGGCCAAAACATGTCACATGGTCTTTTAAAGTCTACTAGGTACTATATTCTATACTTTAAATATTAAAAATGACACCTCTATTTCATTATGAATATTAATATCATTGCTGTTTGTTTTATTGTGTTCCCAACTTCAATTTGTAATGATAAAGAAAGCTAAAATGTTTCTTGCAGAACAGGAGATATTAAGTTGGCATGTTTCTCTGTTTTTGGTCTACAAAACCTAATGTGTTAGAATGCGAACATTATTTAGTTTCTAAGTTACTGACAACTAAGATGAAAAAAACATCAAGCCACGATGCTCTAAGCACTCTAATCACAGGGGCCCACTATGATTTCCAGTCTCTGCCCGCCATGCAGTGTGGCATGCTTCTCACGTAAGGGAATTTCCTAAATCAGAGAGCACTTATCAGCAGTGGGATGCTGTTAATCACTGGGGCGGGCATACTACAAGCATTCCGCTCAAAGGAAAAGCATGTATATAACAACATCTCTTACAGTATGCATGAAGGCAGTACTGAAGAGTTCCATAACAAAAAAGGTTTGTTTTCCTTTTCAGAAAATAACATACCAGTCAGATTCTGAACACTGAACAAGCCACTGTTGTGGAATGTATCTACGTTAAAGTAAGACCAAAAATTATGTACGGCTCTGCCTCAACGGGGGTACTCATAACAGTAGGAATCACTGTACAGACATACAGTACCTTTCGGTATAATAAGCAGTAACTTCCATTATTCGGGTAATCCTTAATCCCCCCCCCCCCCCCGAATTACATTACAGATGGGGAAAACAAACTATGACTGGAATGTACATTCTTACTGTCCTATTGGAATGTACATTCCAATGGAAATAATGAAAATAATAAGTAAATACTATTCTACAATATTTTTCTTAAATTAGAAGTTATAGAAAGTTACATACAAATAATAACAAACAGTATTTAGGCAAAATTAAATATACTGTTGTTAAATGAGGGGCAACATTTATAGTAAAAATGGCAGTATTCCTTTTTACACTCTAATCCACCAACCAACCTGACAATATTGCCTCTTTCCATTCATGTCAAGCTATGAAGACAGAGGGCTTAGGGTTGCATTCTGGTGTTATGCAACCTGAATAGAGCTGCTCCTTCAAAGAAGAAGCCTTGGATACAGGATGCCATGTTTCAGGGAAGATGGGATAAAATATAATGTGAATCATCCCTAACCTTCGCATTATTTCTGAAGCTTACTGCCAGAACACATAAAGCAGTCAATTACATGTGCGGAGCAAGGATAATTTATTATTATATTTTCTCAGGAGGAAAATCTAACAAAATCAGGCACTATAAAACATTCACCATTCATACTTGAAACACCATATCTCATAATTTTGCAGAGTAAGTGTATACTGTATGCTGTATATAAACACACTGTACTTGTGAGCAAATATTAAAGACTGAAACAATGTCAGTAATATATGTTTGTGTGATATACAGTAGATGGCACATTTAATTTAAAGGACTAAAATATTTTAAACACAAAAACCCTGTAACGTTTTACTGCTGCCACATACTGTAGCAATCCTGAGTTTTAGAAAGCAAGATGACGTAGAATAAAAAATCAGTCACCTGCATATGCTGTGTAAACACGTTCAACAAGTACCAAAAGAGTATTTTGGTATTCCACTAGTTTTGTGCTCGTTATTTTTTTTTAAATTATAAAATAAAATACTCGCCATACAAAACATTTGAATCGCTCAATTTGTAATTCATCAAAGTAAAGTTGGAAATAGCTATTAATACTGTATATCCGGCATTTTGTTTACAAATCTTGAAGTGTCAAAACGTTGCCCAATACACTCCACCAACTAGATAATTATTACCAAAGCAATCCAAAAACTTAAAAAAAAACTTCAGTAAGGCAACTAGCACGGTATTACCAAAAACGTAAATTACATTAAACGCATTGTAAAACGCAAGCACATTGAAGGGATTGGAAGTTTGGTAGCTATTGAATTTGTATACTGTACACTGTTACTTTAAGAGCAGTAAGAAGCAACATTCTTCGAAAAATTAAAAAAAAATCCTGACACGCAAACTTAACAGTTTCAATGTTTTTTCCCTCATACACTTATAGTATGCTATCACTTAAAATAAGATTAAAACAATCATTTAAAACTAGGACACTAGTTTTAAAGTTGGTGTACTTGAGACCTTTGCTAGGACATAGAGTCAGGAATGTAGCACATGCTCACTCACTGTGGCAGATCCGACAGCAGTAGCAAGTACATAAAATAGGTTAATTTGAACGATCCACTTACCTGCAGGACACTGTGATTTCAACTTTGGTGGCTGGAATATTAGCGTTAAGCGGGTCGAAATCTCCAATGGACGCCATGTTCATGAAGCTGTTGTTCATCGTAAGAATATTTGACCAACCCCTACAACAGAAGCGATCTCATAAAGTACACAGTACTATTTGCATGTGAGAAGGAAGATCAGCTCTCAAGGCTGGAGCGAGCAGCAGGGTGATGTCACTCCATAACAAACACAACGTCACCGGTGCCTACTGGCAGCAGCAGCTGCTAGAACAGTGGAATGAAGCGGGGGTAAAGGGAAAATTCATCTGAATAAATTCATTGGAGATTTCAGACAAGGAGAGCAAAGTCAAGAAGACTGACAGAGAATTTTAACTCTGCGTGTGCCGACAAATCACCATTCTGCATTAATCACAAAGCTAATGTTAAGAATAATCCATAACATAATTTAAAAACATTTTAATAATACTGCATGTCGTTCTTCAAAGGAGTTTTTTCATAATAAAAAAAACAGTTGAAACAAAATGTTTCTTTTTAACTCTCTATGCTATTAACCAGTTGCTTGTATCATGTTTATTATTGTAATAGTGGTAGCAGACTGATAATAATATAAGAAAAACTAACAACATAAGTACTTTTTTCTTAAATAAAATGTGTTTGTAGGCACGTCTGTGGCCGATTATTTAGCAATAGCTTTCTGTGGTGTCTTAGACAACCGGCTTCAGTCGTCAGAGTGGCTGTATGCAGAAAATAAAATACACAGCGAATATACAGTATATCGCTCCCAGCCGATAAACTGTACATACAGTATATCAGGGGAAAAAATAATCTATGCAGTTACTTAACATTATTCAGTATTTTGGTATGGAGCGTATTTCATATGCCAGGCAGCCTGAGATAAATTAAAATGTTAAACTGAACTTGTGTTGGATTTATACCACGTCAAACGGGCAATGTCTGTACAATGTCTGCACCCTTCTGTGAATCTAAATAGATTTAAAACCGTAGGATAATATACAATACCGATACTTTTCGTGGATTTTGTAACAAAAAAGGGTAATTACACTTTAAACAACTCTTGGGACTATTTCCATCAATAGCATGCCTCGGGTACAGGCTTTTGAAACGCACGATTGCAGCCACTGGATGGCTCCTGTGAGCAGCAGATCTAACAGAACTTAAAGGTTTATGAATTTACCAAGCAATACTTTATACTGTATGACTGTAATACTGTATTTTCCAGTCAATATATTTAGATATTTTTGAGTAAACAAGGTAAATGAAAGCTAATGTCAAAAATAGGTTATTTTTAAAGAAACGAGACAGGCATCTGGTACAGGATTGTTGTCTGAGATTGCACTATTAATCTCAGAAATATTAAAACATGCTTTTTATATATATATATTTACTTATTTTTAAATGAAAATCATCTTGGTACAATTATTTTTTTAATTCTTTCCTTCGAAGCTACCAAGGACAAAAGCTTTTAGCAGGTCTGTGTGAATTTCAATTCTTCTAGTACTGTATGTAAGCAAATACAACATACTGTAAAAGTAAGTATATATTGTGGATAGTATATAGTTGATAATTTTGACCTTCTCAAAATGCTTTTTTAATTTAACGAATTATTCCATTACTTACATTACAAGAACAGCAGACTCTTATTATTTGAGCAAATATTTGTTGTCAAAGATCCTGTGTTTAAAGTCTTTTTTTAGCAGAGTGGTGGAAAGATTAGGCCACAGTGATGAATTGATTTATCATCACCATGAATCTGCTCTGGAGGTGATGCTTCATATTCTGTAACATAAAGCTGCTAAATGTGGAACTCAGTCACCTAAAAAAACATGAGCAAAAAAAACAGTTGCTTTCAGCATCTCACAGACAGGAGAAACAGAGAAGTTTTCTCCCTCGGTTGTGTTAATTGGATTATTCATCATAGTATTTAACTGAATGCCTCAAGAACTGCTATAACAATGACTTGCAAAAAATTTCAATTTTAAAATGCTTGTTTACCAGACTGCTCTTTTTTAAAAGTCATTAATGTAACTTTTTTGCCATGCCACTTCCTAATTTTAAAGACCATGTAAATGTTTCTTGGCAAATACAACATTTTTGACTGATGCAGGCTTTCTTCTACACCATGTTTAGGTTCAGTAAACCCCATTAGATCCTGGCACTGTGTGCATCTTTCATTGCCAGAATAAACAGTCCAATGTGCGCAATATTAAGTTAGGCTGAGTATCTTTGTTTGAGAGTTTGGAAACAGATACTTCTGTCAAGTTCAGCTGTTCATTTTTATTCTAATAATGACTAAATGAGCTGATGAATACAGAGATAGTTTGCTCAGTACTTTGGATTTAACTCATCATATCCCCCCCCCCCCCCCCTCCCCCCCCCCACACACACACACACACACACACACACACACAGAGGATGTATGAGCCAGGGAGAATCACTGCAACAGGGAGCTGTGTTCAGCCAGCAGGTTAATGCATGAGGAAGTGGAAATTCAACAGTAGAATTTGAATTTGACCTCCACCCAAACCTCGGTTGAATGACACCATTTCAGCTGCTCAGTCAAGTTCTAATGATGACGAAACAAGCTGACGAACAAAAGGTTAGCTCGCTTGGTATTTTGGTACTCAGTACTTTCCCCCCAAGGAATCCAAAATACTGATGCAGATTTCTAACACTGAGTGAAGAGCAATTCGGCTGCAGTTTCAGAGGAATTCAGATGAGGTGCCTGAGAAGTCTGTGTGCTGCAGGTGACAGGACACATGTAAGCAAATATGTGGCAACACATGTGGCTAGCAGCACATGCAGGACCAGCTAACTTGGATTGGACTCTGTAGTGGGCAGCAGAAAAAGCTGGGTGACCAGAAGAGTATTTTGATGCAGAAGAAAGAGTGGTAACTGGTACAGTATCAGATAACTGCACTAGCTAGTTTGAGACTGAGATTGTGGTGGGTGGCAAAAGACGACCAGAAGACTAGACTGATGCAGAACAGGGAAGAGAGCTGATGCTAGCTGAACTCAGCTCAGCACTAAATACATATTTTGAGATGAATCACCAAAAAGAGAAGGACTATAAGCTACAATTGTGGGGGGAAACTTTAGAAGAGGGAAAAGTTAAAGGCAACCATTTGTGCACCAGCTCAAAAGAAGGGGACAGGAACCCATTACTGTACTGTAGCTGCTTAGGACAAGCTAGGGACATTGTGGGGGTGAATGAGGAAGCCTGGGTCCAGTGCAGACTGCCTTCTTGCTCTCTCATCCGTTGGGCGGAGTGGGAGTCAGCTACTGGGAGCTCCTGCGGTAGACAGCGAAAAAAGGATTGGAGAAAGGTGAGATACAAAACAGCTTTTATACACTGGGTCCATAGGTGCACTGGGTTGGCCATTCAACCAGAAACAAAAAGAAAAGGGGAAGTAGAGGAATGTAGCAGATGAGATTAGGAAGTGAGGGAAAATGGGGATAAAACCTCAGTGGAGATAGATACCACATTGCTCAGTTTGTGGGTGGTTGCTTACATTAGAAGACCTAAAAGAAAACTGTGGTCGGCATGATGAAAGTCACTTGTTTTAATTGGAGCTTTGAGGGTAGAGAGGTGAGAGCAGCTCTGGTCCTTGATTAACATAACCTAATGAAGGCAAGGTCACCACAACGCCAAATGTGAGGTGCGTCCATCTGAGGCAAAGCAGTACTCAGAGTGCTGGAGAGGATGCATGGAATTGTGTTGTTCAACCAGGGAGTGGTGTTCAGACAGCTAGGTTTAATGCACGGGGAAGTGGAAGTGCTACAAGAATTTGACATCCACCTGAATTTCTCGTCAAAAATCCCATTAGATTGTTGATCTACACATAGTTTACACATCTTCCCAACACCTTCATATATGGTTCAGTGAGAAGTTCAAATTTAGCTCCTGTGGGTCTGTTAGTACCAACACCCATTTGACCACTGACCACAAAAATCTTCAGTATCTCTGAACATTGAAACATCTAAATCCTTGACAGGCGCGGTGGTCCTTTTTCTTTTCCTGGTTTTATTTTACCAACTGTTAAAGAAAGGGAACCAAAAAGTTAAAGCCAATGCTGTTTCCTGTATTCACATCTCTGAAGATACCCCATCTGAACCAGCCTCCATTATTCTGCTTGACCGAATTGTGGGCCTAACCCCCCTTGAGGCTGAACAGAAGGTTGTCACAGCTTAAGCCACAGAATGTTTTTGTCCCGCCCCACACTTGCCCATTACTCCATTACAGTCCCAGACCCACTGTTTCATGGTCTTATTCCTAACTGAACCCATCACATTCTCACAGGCACCATATTCCACAGATTCTCACTCCTGAACCAATTATCCAACCATGTCCCTCTCCCTTCACTATTTCAAGTTTCCTCACACACCAAACCATGCTCACTATTGAAAAGCCTCCTTTAGAGTTTTCTAGTGAACGTTTTTGTCTTGTTGGATTTCTGTGGGTTTTGGACTCAACTTTTCCCATTTCGATCTTGTCTCTTGGATTTCGCCTTTTGGATTGTCTTCTCGGTTTGTCTCGGCTCTTTCTGGTTAACTGATCTCTAGCTTCTCCTACCGACCTTACTTCTGGATTACAATTTTGGATTGTTTGCCTCTCCATCCCACAGAATTCACGGCTACGCACAGGATCCTCAGAAAACTAACTTCCGGTTCCCTAACGCTTCTCCCAACAAACAATATGTTCCTTCACAAACCAGACAGGAGGTCCTTCGATTGGCCAGACATCCTAAATTTCCCTGTACATTAGAGCTCATCGGCAAGTATTTCTGGAGGTCATCCATGAGATCTGAAGTGATGAACTTCATTAAGAATTGCCCAGTTTGTAATGAAACAAAGGACTCCAGGCAGCTGCCATTACCCATTCCAGACCGATCATGGCAACATATTTTTGCAGACTTCGTAACTGGTCTTCTCCGAACCCTGGGGAATTCTGTAATGCTCACTATGGTTAATCACTTTTCCAAAGCTGCCCACTTCATCCCCCTGCCTAAACTATCATCTGATAGTCAGCCGAAATCTTCACCAAAGAGGTATTTCTACTTTGTAGATTTCCATCCACGATTCTTTAGGACCGAGGATCTCAGTTCGTCTCCTGATTTTGGAAAGTCTTCTGTCAAAAACTAGGAATACGAATGGCCCTTTCCTCAGGATACCATCCAGAGACCAACAATCATACTGAACATGTTCATCAGGACCTAGAAAACATATTTCTGCTGCCATGTATCCACTTTCCAAGATGACTGACTGGGCACCCCTTTAAC